GATGTTTTTCTTTCATTTTAATCCTTGCACGTAAACGAGATACAGATTAAGTTTACATCACATATAAGATTAACATTATTTTTTTTTAAGATTGACGTTAATAATTAATCCTTATCTTATTATTGCATATTCTGCACGCAAAATCTAGGTAAGCCTCAGTAGTACGCAGAGACTTACGCAGTACCTCGGCATCCCTTACGCACAACCTCCGATCGGCAATCTCCGTTTCGCACGACCAATGACAGATCCTCTTCCCTCTTGGAATGACGTGAGAAACGCGACACAGTATGCACCGTCGTGTCAGCAGCAGTCGGGTCGACTGAAACTGCATGAGAAGCTCTACAAACAATTGTTACCAGATCTGCCCGATCCTGGTGTCAGCGAGGATTGCCTTTTCTTAAACATCTTCGTCCCTGACGGTATGTGTATTCCCTTCAATCAAGTGTAGTAAATAATTATGTACAAAATGTTACTCGATTCAAAAATCTCATAGATAAAATGGTTGCTACATCATATTCTTTATTGTTAGAAAAAATTTATGTAAAATGAAGTTAAATAGATATTGTATTAAAAATTATAGTTGTCATATGCCCATCCATATAGTTCTCACAACCACATATTTTATGATACGTAATGTTCAATTAATATATCCTCGCATACATAGCTGCCTTAACCGAAAGATTATTGCTGTCTCTTTATTGTAATCTACAGAACTAATACTTTAGTTGAGAAATCCGTAGAGTTTGGTTGCGCTATATAGCACTGAGAATTTCGCTGAAACACAAATAGACAAACAATAAAGAAGACTAGTGTACTATACTGTACTATACTGTACACTTCCAGAGAACTATATGGTTTCTACAATCTTTTTATATGCATGAGCGAAAAATAATATTAATATTTTATTATTTACGCAATCATATTTATAGCCAAGTGATATCCCTAGTATTTTTTTCTATACTGATTTTTTCATCTATTATTTTCATAAATCTGTCTTTAAAGAAAATAAATCTAAATAGTGAATATATTTAATCTGTTTTCACCTTGAAAAAAAAAAATTTCTTCTTCATCTTCTTCCTTCCCGCAAAAAATGTGAAGAGTAAGCGATTTAGATGTTATTTTCACTCACTCTTACGGAATCTTTGAATGTGCAAGCAGAACATACCATTTTTTATTTGATAAACAATTTGGCAATTGGCAGCGGTGGTTCGCTTCACCGTTGATCATAGTCCTCGATACTGCGCGGCACGTTTTCTTCCATCTAATCTTCGGCAAAACGTCAGCACGCAACGCCACGAAAGCAACGGTCAACGGCGAAGTTCGTTCCCGACAAAATTCGAGATAATACGCGTTCGGGTTCTCGGAGACTGATTTCTATCGTTTGTGAAAAGGAGGTGATTGCAGTAATATTCACGGGGGTCGAGGCGCTGTCGCTCCGCGATCAGATAACAGTGGACCGAAGCAGAAAATTAATAACCACCCGTGCGTGCGGAGACAGAGTGTCGTGTGTGTGTTTGTGTGTGCAAAGATTTATCACGCCCGCGTAAAAAGCATGAAGGGGTAGACGTCCTGCAGTTAATGCTCAATGTGATTACGTCGGACGTTTTTCTCGTGAATTACCCGCGCTTCAAACTCGATTTCTCGCTACTATAACCGCTTTTAACTTGTTTTCCTGCAGCTACTATTCACATTTAAAATATAATATTATCCTTAACAAAATTCTCTTATATATAGCCTCAAGAGAGGATTCCTTTAAAACCAAAAGAAAAATATTCTGATTCCAAGAAAAAAATGTCTAGTTGCAACATGCTGTTTCCTGTAATCCTATTTTAACCAGAAACTTTTATTGAAAAAGTATTATTTTTCATTAGAGACAGAATCTTTGCATCCTCATTAGAATTCCTTTTATGATAAAGAAAAATATAAAAAAAATATCGTGTTTAGAATATTTTATTTTTTATTTTAGAAGAATGCTCTTGATGTCAAATATAAGAAGATTTTTCTACAACTAAAGTTAAGCATGAGATTATATTTTTTTTTGAATGCATACTATACACATTAAATAAATTATCTTCAATAAAAAATATTTGTTTGTGTGTGTGTGTATATGTGTGATAATAGTAATAGAAAATATACTCGTCACAAACTTGACAAAAGTTCATAATTATATACTCAAAAGGATTTATTTTCTTTACAAGAATATTATAAAACTTGTTCGAAAAAAAGTTTATTTTATGTACACTGAGAAAAAATATGACAATTTTTTTGTGGGATATAAATTTTTAACTATTTTTTCTCAATGTAATAAGTAAACCGAATTTTTGTTTTAACTTAATATTCTTTGTTGAGAAATGCTACACTGAAAAAAATATGCTTGAAAATTTATTTGTGGGATATAAAGTTTTTTCACAGAAATAAATTTTATCTTCCACAAGTAAATTTTTAAGTATTTTTTCTCAGGGTGAATAGGATTCAAAATATATTTTGAATAAATTTGATGGGCTTATGATGAAAATTCACGACAAATTTGCCGATATATAAGATGTTCCAGACCCTTCTCCGTAATTTCAGTAGGAACGTAGAACGGAAATGAACATAAAAATCCTATACTGTTTTGCGATATACACAATAAATCTCAAGATATTAATTAAAGAAAATTAGTGAATAATTACGCAGTAGATGAACTGCAGTGGCGCCGTCTGCCTTTGAATACTTGTACATCCGGTCAAATTGAACAAAAAAATCTCCTATTATTTTGCAAGTGATTACATAGATTTTTAGATATTAATTAAAAAAGATTTGTGCATTATCGCATACAATCATATAACAATTTTATTTCATTAATAATTAAAAATCTACGTGGTTATTTGCAAAATAATAAAGGACCTTTTTGTTTAATTTGATCTAATGGACAAGCACACAATAGCATACATCGCTACCACAGTTCATCTACCATATCGCGCGTGATCATTCATTAATCTTCTTTAATTAATATATCGACTATTATTGCAAATATCGCAAAACAGTATAGAACTTTTATGTTTGCCTCGGTCCGTTCTACATTCTTACAAAAATTGCGAAGAAGAATCTGGGACACTCTGTATAAACTTATGAAAAATATTTGAAACAAGTAACATTTACCTGAAAGCAGTATGTATTTATTTTTATACAACCGCTTTATCAAATTTCGAACAACACGTGGTTAAGTGACAATTTCCCGAAAAATGAAGAAGATAATGTTGGTACCAAAAAAAAACTACACGATATAATGATTTGCAATCTCCTTTGTAACTGCACTGCTAAACTAATATTAAAGGTTAGAGTGAGAAAACATATATTTGTCTCATTTCAATTTATTGCATCAGTTCAGCAGTACAGTTCACAAATGTCTATACTAAACTATATTGCTAACCAAAGCTTCGGACTTTGTGTTGCATGAAGTTTCCAGTTGTATGCGAGAAAATGGCGGCGGTCCTGTGTGTGTGACGCATGCCACTTGTGTGAGTATCTTACAATATAGTGTGAGTCAGCGTGGTCATTAAATTGCTATCGTAAAACCAAAAATGCCAGCAGCTTGTTGCATCAAAAAGTGTCGCAACAAAAAAAAGATGGTATTAGACGCTATTTGCTCTGCTCATTTTCAACAAAAAACTAAACGTAGTAAAAATATGTGACGGCAGCGGCAATTTTCTCGCATATACTGAAAACTCTATTGGACGCAAGCCATGCTATTCCAATGATGTTAGCAATCTAGTTTAGTATAAACATTTGTGATGCAGTTACAAAGAACAAGCTTTTAAATTATATCGTGTAGAGATTTTCCTTGGTACCAACATTATCTACTTTCCGGGAAATTGTCGCCTAACCTAAACACATCAACTTCCCTCCCTCCCCAAAAAAAAGATTGACAACTATACAAAAGAGAACTATGTTAGTGTTATTTTTAACGAGTGCATCAATTTAGACGTATGTAGATATTTCTGCACTGACAAGTAATACTATCCAAGTGCCACACGCCGATCTTCTTGAAACTTTGCACACATGTAGCACATCGAAAAACATTAGACACGTATTTTTTTATTTTGGCTAACAAGGCATTTTAAGGTTAGAAAACGCATTCGAAAATGTAACACTCTATAGCACAATAATAACTAACGCTACTCCTGAGCGTCATTCTTTTACATATTTTCATCCGCCACCTCTTGATTGATATAACTGATACCAAAATCGTAATCATGGGTCTAAAAAAACTTCTTCGAAACTGACTTTGAATAAAGTCTTTGAACTGTCTGCGATTTTGGTCCGCCATTTTGAATCTCGCAAAACTAATGTCAAAATCAATTAGCGACTTCAGAAACATTCAGACAATGAAATTATAATAGAGTAATGTCGTAAAAACTGTAAAAGAATGACGCTCAGGAATAGCATTAGTTATCATGGTGCTATAGAGTGTTAAATTTTCGAATGCGTTTTCTAACCTTAAAATGCCTTGTTAGCCAAAATAAAAAATACGTTTCTACTGTTTTTCGATATATAATGTGTGCAAAGTTCCAAGAAGATCGGCATGTGGTACTTGGATAGTGTTACTTGAGAAGAAAGTAGTTGAGTCAATGAGATTGCTTGAACGAACAAAATTCGTTCAAGCAAACGTTTAATAGATTCAGCGAATTATATCGTTGTTGCGATGAGAGTTATCAATTGACTCAATGATTACTATTTAGTCAGTAACTATATCAACGCAACCAAGGTCCGTGGATTGGAACAGTGCGAAGGGAAGATTTTCCTATTAGCGGCCATTTTTGAGCCATGCATTTGTATATGTGTGTATATATTCAAGTATCTTCCAATACACATATAAAACGCATTATATGTGTATCGGAAGATACTTGAATATATACACACATACACAAATGTATGGTTCAAAAATGACCGCTAATAGGAAGACCTTCTCTTCGCACTGTTACCAATCCACGGACCTTGAACGTAACTTATTATTGTAACGCGTAATTTGTTCAATAGATACAATATTTCTTAAGACAGGTGACTGCCGATTTTGTCAACCCAACTGTTGTTTTTTTAGTGCGTGTTTACACAAAAGCTATAAATCCCCACAAGCGAAATATGCCGTTTATATATATTGGTCCCGTTTTTCTACTTTCTCAAGCTAATACAAATTTAATGAGGTACTAATAAGGAATAGACAGGTGCAATCTTAAGACTCGGATAAATATTTACACGTGTACGAGCGAGCGAAAGGTTAAAGGGGGTGTGATGATGAGATTGAGTGCGGGCCTTGGTGCGGTATACTTTGACCGTCGACGAGAGACCAGCTTAATCAACTGGAGACTAAACGGCGTCTCTCTTTTGTTTGAAAAGAAAAAAGAAGAAGAACGATCGCAGTCGCGGAATTACGCCGACATGAAAATCGCGTACGACGATGATGACGACGACGACGACCAAGTTGGTCGATATATACACGGCTAGTAAGAGTAGTATAACAATAACTAGCGCGCATGGTAGCACGCGATCTTCCAGGGTCTGGTCTAAGATCCCGAGATACGAGAAAGCCGGTCACGAAAGCTTCCCTCTCTCGCTCGCACTTTACATTCGCGGCCTCCAACGTTCGCTCCTTTCCTTCTCCTCGTCGTCGGTGGGGAAGTACCACGAAAATCGTCACAACGTATGAGTCATTGCGCGTCTGTAAGAAGCGTGCCGTCGGATCATTATCGTCGTGACAGAATTACACGGGCGGGGGATAACATTTGGGTCGCACCTAAGCTCCCGATGACAGTTAATGCGAATACGGAAAATCCCAGAGGTGCTTAGTGCAAGCGTGCCAAGGTCGCCACTAAGAAACGAAACAGCGTGTTCGACTCGCGACGCTAGCGCGGAAGACGGCTGTGTTCAGGAAACCGCAGGGGGGGAGGAATCTCGTACCGGTTCCCGTTATCGCAAGGAGTTCACATTCGGCTGGCTGGAAATAGAATATCCAATATGTACTTTATGTAAATTGTCTTCAGTCTCATTCTGTTTATATATTTTATAGATTAAGCTATATAATATGAAAGAGAATACTTTATCGCCGAAGTCTCGTTGTGTGTGAACGCGCTACCTATCCTTTATATAATCAAACGCAAACTGAACATTATCCGAATTTTCCTTCACTTTAATAAGAATAAGACACTATAATCTAAAATTACAAGATATAAAAATAACGTTGAACTTGCGTTCATACTAATCTCGATTTCATCTGTCTGCCTTATTAGATTGCCGACGTCGGATATGTGAAATAAAGATAAAAAACAAAATTACGAAACTAATTCTCGAAATAATCCTTATTAATCGATACAATTATTCCATTGGCCTCGATAAACTTTCTCTGTTTAGGAGGAACTTTTTTCAATCTTCTTAAGAAACCTTGCAGACTCTCCTAACTTTATTTAGAATGATAGATATGAAATCTGATAAGCAAAGTTGTAGAAAATTCTATTTCTAATAGAAACATAGAAATACAACAACTCTTTGCAGCAGAGAACCTAATATTATTTAAGAATCTTCATAGCACAGGTCTCAGATATACAGGTTCTTAAATCGGTTAGATATTCAGTAGATTTTCAATTAGACTTCCACCGGCTGATTAATTCAGCTAGCGTGCAGATTATCCGGATAAACCGCCGTATCTTAACATTCCTCCTCAATTAATTAACTAATAATTCATATATGTAGGGAACCGTGCGGACGAACAATGGCCGGTGATGGTTTGGTTCCACGGAGGCGATTTCAACACCGGCACTCCGGCGATCTGGGATGCCTCCATATTCGCTAGCAGACAAAAGGTTCGATAATAATTAGACGACACAGAGACCGGAAGTATTTAATCGTCAAAAATATGATACCGAAATTAATGTGATCTGGTGTCGAAAATATGTCATCTTTAGCGGAATTCTCTTATGACTTCAAAAAGATTTTTCTAAACACAAAATGAAAATATTCTAATCTTTAAAAAAATAATTTTAGAAATGCTCTCTATTTCCTGTAATCTTATATTCTTAGCAAAAAATTTTCCTTTTCTAGTGAAGCAGACTATTAACCTTTTGCCACCAGTTGTTGCCTTGAGACAACATTTAGTTCAAATCGGTACAGACGTCGAATTAATCGATATTTTTCTTCACTGAATTATCAAACGTTTTTAGCAATGCTGTTTCTCGTGACTCTAGGCAGGATTTTTATCTTATCACCAGTTATAGTGGCACAAGCTAATAAATTCTCAGCACCCCCCTTATAGAAATATCATACTAAGAATCATTGATAATTACTTATTATCCAGTATTATTAATACTGAAAATAAGTAATTATCAATGATTCTTAGTATGATATTTCTATAAGGGCCATCGATTCTTCTACTCCGAAGCTGACAGCTTCATAAGTAAGTGCAATTTATTAATATTGCACTTACTTATCACAAAAGTGAATTATATAAAATATTCTCGTACATTATCTTATATATAACATGTAGAAAATTGTTGTTCTGCAGAATATAGTTTGCAAGTAATGCAATAAAATAATGTAATATATTAAATAATTGTTTCTCTAAGACAACATTTTAATTTCTCCAAATAGTTAATTCAAAAATTATTTAAAAAATTAGACAATCTCTACACTGTTCAGAACGATAATGAATAGAGAAAAAAATTTTTGCCAATAAAACTAACTTGAAAGTTAAAGGAATAATCGCAGAAATCTTTTAAACATTCTGTTTTTTTCCTTTTAAATCAAGAGAAATATGTTTACTTGAAAAAAGGAGAATGCCTTTTTACACGCACGATACTCCAGATAACACAAATATAATATTCTATGAATATTCTTATGAAATAAGAATGTTCTTTCAATATATTCGTATCGGATATTTTACGAATATACATATGATATTTATATGTGTGGACAGAAATTCATATATTTATAATAGAGAAGAACGTTCTTAGAACATTTGTAAGATTTATTTGCTGCGCATGTGCAATATAACTATGTAATAAAAGTTTTATAAATATCCGTAAATATTTATACAATACAATGTACGAATATTCCTAATGAATGTTTATAGACTATTCATAGAATATTTCCCTTACAGAAACATCATACTAAGAAATACTAAAAAATTATTAGTGATTGAGTACTAAGTACTACCAGTAATTCAATAATATTTTGGCCAATGCTTAATTTCTGGTAAATACTGATAATAAAATCAGGTTAAATATTATAATACAAACGCTCAATTTTTCAAGACAACACAAAATATTTATAAAACATTTACAAAATATTTATATGATTTATTTGATTATTTTATAAATATTTACCAAAATATTTCGTTAATATTTTTATGACCTTAGATTCAATCATAAATATTTATCATAAATATTATAAAAATATTTATTAAAATATATACGTTTATATATATTTTTCCCTTTACCTAATTTTTTCTTAAATTTCCCATTTTATTGTTTCACACGCTACTCAATTCAAGTTAAGTTGTACTTCGAAAATTTGCTTACCATTGCTGAGATTCGCAAACTTGAGACCTCTGATTCTTGAGTCACCTTCTGATTCTCTTCGTTCACCTTACTTACTTACCTTACTTATACCACTGTTACTTTGACTGAGAAACGCTTTGTATGAAACATGTATATACATATGGTATATCCATGTACTAAAACACATGATTTATTTAAAAGAAAAGAATAGATCCTTTTAAATGTAAAAAGTATGTAAAAAATATATTTAAATAAATATTTACTTGTTTTAAAAGTAAGTAAAATACAAATAAATTATTTTGTAAATTTAAACAAATTGTTTTCTGGTAATAAAAGAAACTTTAATTTGAAAAAAGATACTTTATTATTATTATAAAATAATTTAAATCTGTAAAATGATTTACTTGTATTTCATTTACTTTTAAAACAAGCAAATATTTATTTAAACACAGTTTTTACATTTATAAAAACTAATTTTCTTCTTGTAAGGAAATCATTTGCTTATATTCTTATACTTATATAGATATTTTAAATCAAAGAAATTATTTTTTTCTAGAAATTTATAATTTTACATCTCATTATTTACAAATTAAAAAAAAATATTACATGCTCTATATTTATTACATATTTATATATTTCGAATAAAGATTTTGATACTTTTTTCTCCTTCTCTTCCCTTTTCTTCCTCTTTCCTCTTCACTTCTCCTCCGCTCCCCCTCTCCTCCTCTCCCACTCTCTCTTTCCCTTTCTTCCACTCCCACTCTTTCTCCCCCTCTCCCTCTCCTTCTCTCTCTCTTCTTCTCTTTTTCTCTATATATATAAAATATTTATAAAATATACAAGTTGTCTCAAACCTCTATTATCACACTTTGTGAGAACGTAGAACGCATTAAAGTAAACAAGAAGGTCCTGTACCGTTTTGCGATATTCGCAATAATAGTCGAGATATTAATTTAAAAAATTGGTGAATGATTATGCGCGATATAGTAGATGAGCTGCAGTAGCGCCGTCTGCCGTTGTATACTTATACATTATATCAAACTGAACAAAAAAGTCCTCTACCATTTTGCAAATGACCACATAGATTTTTAGATATTAAGGAAAATTGTTACATAATTGTGTATCGTAATGCACAAATTTTCTTTAATTAATATCTAAAAATCTATGTAGTCATTTACAAAATGATAAAGGACTTTTTTGTTCAATTTGACTTAAATAATTTTTAATAAAATTAATATTTTAAATTTTTAATAAATTTTAATAAATTTTTAATAAAATTAATTTTTTTAAATTAATATTTCGATTATTATTGCGAATATCGCAAAACGGCACAGGACTTTCTTGTTTACCTTAATGCGTTCTACGTTCTCACAAAGTGTGATAATGAAGGTTTGAGACAACCTGTATAAATATTTTATAAATATTTTATATACATAGAGGAAGAGAGAAGAAGAAGGAGAAGGAAAGAAGGAGAGAGGGAGAGAAAGAGAGGGAGTGGGAGAGATCGTGCGTGATCATTCACCAATATTGCAAAACAGCGCAGAACTTTCTTGCTCACCTCAATCCGTTCTACTCAGACAACATAATGTATAAAATCGGGACATAAGATCATCTTTAAAATGTCTTTCAGACGATTTATGTATAAATATCTTTAAGGTGTCTTAAAGATAATCTTTAAGACGTCTTATGTTTCGATTTTAGACATTATGTTGTCTGGATACGTTCTCATAAAGTATAATCATGGAAGTCTGAAACATCCTGTATAATATTTTTAAAAAATAATTCGAAATAAATATTTATAAATATTTATCATAAATATTTTGTGTGCTGTCTGGGTTAATACTTTAATTTTTGACAGTGCTTTAAGTAAGTACTTCATCACTTAGTGAAGTATTACATATTTAATTATTGAAAATATTTTACGTAATTATTTTATCATTGAACGAAGTATTACATATCAATATTTATGTATTGAAATCGATTATAAGGTAATATTTGTATCATTATAACACTAAACACTGAAGCACTTGTGAGCACTAAGAGCTTATTTGAATCACAGAATATTACTAATCATTGTACTTTTAACGTTTAGGCTGCATTTTTCATTAAAAAGTTTTTTACTTAAAAATTTTTCTATGTAAGTAATATACACATGGCGCAGAAGTTTATGATTTATACAAAGCCACAAAAGTGGCGTTCCTAAGAGGGAACGCACGATTAAATATAAAAAATTTTTATTTTCTCAAAAATAGTGTATTTGGGGGTTTTTGTATCGCCGATTCCAATTCTGAGCATAGATTTACGAAATTTCCTAAGCGCAATATTGACAACATAAATAAATATAAACATATAGATTCATGCAGTCTTTTTTGTTTGGTTTTTAATGTTAAATTTTTGTATTTTTTTTTTAGTTTTTACTTGTTTTATAATTTTTTACTTTTTTATGTTTTTAAATTTTTTACTTTTTTATATTTTTAAATTTTTTGTATTTTCATATTTTTTATATTTTTTTATATTTTTCAATACTTACATTTTTTATATATTTTATGATTTTTTTATTTTGACTTTTTTCCGTAATTATAATAAAATTTCTTTCAAATGATAATTTTTAAAACAGACTGTTATGCATAATAGAGTATTACAATTACTGCATATGTTTCGGCGACGTAAGTGCAAACAAGCGCGAAGTGCGAACAAGCACAAAGCGGGCACGGGAGAGCCACGCATTGCGTAAGCTGCATACATATATATGTTTAATATATTTAGTATTTAAAATACCATTAAAAATAGTAATATTTTAACCCAAATCCTTATAGAAATATCATACTAAGAATCATTGATAATTACTTATTATCCAGTTTTTTTAATGCTGAAAATAAGCAATTATCAATGATTCTTAGTATGATATTTCTATAAGGGAACTCAAGAACCACAAAAGCGGGTTTTCCAGCAATCTAAAAGTTAATACTGAAAATAAGTAATTAATCAATGATTTTCAATATCCCGCGAAAAAAAATTATATATAATTATATATAAATATATATAACTATATATGAATTTTGTCCAATTTATGTGACCTTATATATGATCATATCAAATTATATACCCATATATATGTCCATATATAAAACGAAAATTGTCAAATGAAAAAAGAAAAACATAATTTGATTCGGTTAATCGACATCATGGCTTACCATAAACATTAGCATTTATTTAAGCATTTACTCAATTGTATCTTCACAATAGTATTCTTTTCAATGTCGACATATATAAGTATACATATATGATTATATATAACCATATATGAATTAAATTCATATATAAACTTTTTTCCCGGGATAATATTTCTGTAAGGGTTCCGTGTTACCTGAAAGAAAAATCGTGACAAAACTACTATTATTGATAAAAACAAACACTAATTTTAAGAGGTTCTGGTTTAGATAAACGAAAAATAGCAGGTTTTTACGATTTTTTTAAAGAAATGGATAAAAATATAAATATAAAGTTTTGACCATACATACATTTACTATTATTTTAAGTATAAAAAAATTATTCTTAAAGAATCAAAATTCTATCCAGGTGTCTATGCTGAACATGATGTCACTGAACTCCTTTAATTGGTGAGCATCATTACAGTTCGTGTAATAATCTAAAACAGATAGAGTAAGAAATTTTTAAAACTATTAAATTTGCTGGCGAATAAACCTAAATTCTTTCAAAAATTTATAAAATTAATATTTTTCCACGCGAAACGCTAAATAAAGAAAGAAAAAAGAGAGGAAAAATAAATTATAACATTTTTACTTGTAATTTAAAATGCCGCAATTTTGTTAAATTTCGACTTTCATAATATAATAAAAATTTATCTTTTTTCCAGCAAATTTAATATAGTTTTCAAATGTTTTATGTTTATATTTTCTTTCATATCTTTAAAAAAATAATTCGTAAAAACTTCTTATTTTTTTATCTAAATCAGAATTTTCTCTTAATCCTTTGAAGCATACATTTTTTCTTTTATTTTTTGTTTATAAAATGATATTCGGAAGTTTTTGGAAACGCTAATTACGAATCTGTAGTCAGAATTAAAAAATTTTCAAATTTCAAGATGGCGGATATAATATAGAGGATTAAAATTACAAAAAATTTCATTCCGCCATATCGGATCCATCATCTTGAATTTCGGAAATTTTTCCAATTCTCACTCCAGATTCATGACCTCAAAATCCCGGGTACCAAGCTTTATGTAAATTATATTTTTTACAATTATAATCCTCCCCGCCATCTTGTAAATTAAAAAATTTTTTTAATTCTGACTTCAGATTTGTAATTAACACCTCCAAAAACCTCCCAAACACCAAGTTTTATAAAAAAAGAAATAAAAGAATAATTGTATGCTTCAAAAGGTTAAATTTTCACACTTTTAAGCCGCCATTATTCGCTAACCTTCACGAATTTCGAAATTCTGACTTCAAATTCGAAATCAGTAGATCAAAATATATAAAAATACGAACTTTTAACGAAATTCGAGTTAAAAAGTATTACCTTTTTTAATTTCGGGAGGTATAACATATATGTTATACCGTGTTTCAAAGGGTTAAGAATATTGTGCTTAGAATACTTTCCTTTTAGTTTTAGAAAACTTCTTTTGAAACCATATATAAAAGGATTTCGCTAAGGATAATGATACATTTTTGAATAATCAAGTTTTCGTTATCTCATCCAATAAATGGATATGGATACGTAAAGTAGTATCGTTTACTGCTCGGAAATATATTTTTCGGTACCGAATTGATCGCCAGCGTGACACACAAAAGTAAATCTTGTAACTCCTCTCTCCCTCTCTCCCTCTCCTCCCCTCTTTCTCTCTCCTTCCCTCCCTCCCTCTCTCTCTCTCTCTCTCTTTCGCTCGCTTTTTCTTTCTCTCTCTTACTACTGACGGCAACATAATCATTAGCTGGGCGATTTTATCGCTCACGCTAAAAAAGAATTTCACATTACGCGAAAATTAACGAAAACGACCTTTTCGTGCGGTCGGCAGGTGCTAGTGGTGACGGTAGCGTATCGATTAAACATCCTGGGATTCTTCACGACGACTGACACCGAGGCGTCCGGCAATTACGGCATGTTCGATCAGATCGCTGCCCTCGACTGGATCAAGCGTAACATCGAGTATTTCAACGGCTCGCCGAACAATATTATCATCTACGGCCACAGCTCAGGTGCGATCAGTGTCGGCTTGCACATACTAAGTCCGTTGAGCCGCGGCAAGTTCTCCAAGGCGATCGCCATGAGTGGTGACGCCGTGAACTCTGTCCGCTTGCCAGAATCCGAGCGCGAGGTCGTGGACATCATTACCGAAAAATTCGGCTGCGACAGACGGCCGACCAGCCAGCTAATGGAGTGTCTACGCCGAGTGGATATTAACATCCTAGTCAAACTCTCGTCCGACATCGAGACATGGGGTCCAATCGTCGACGCTGAGATAAATAACTCCACGGAGCCTTTCCTCCCATTACATCCGAAGGACATTTTGGAGAACGGTAATTGCCAGAACGGTCTTGATAAGTATTTCAGATAACAAAGATGTTCAAGTACAGTCTAAATACACATTAAAAAAATATGGATTCCCAATATACGTTCAATGATATGCATTCAAGTGTTCCACAATATCTCGAGTGTTTTTTCAGATATTTAAGTGAAAAACTTATTGACAAGAAATAATATTTCTGTTACTATAACCGCGCGAAAACATTCGTTTGAATATTTTATTTTAACTGCATTAATACTCCATTATGATAACCAAGAGTAGTTAGCTGAGTAGAAGCCTTCTAAGAATCTTTCTGTTCCTATAACCAAATTTTTTATTTAGTCCCCAAATAACAGAAAATTGAGTTACACTAACAAAGTTGTTTTTTCGTATAATTTCACTTAGATACTCAGATAGCCAAACCTGCGCAAGCAGATTTTGCGCAGAGTCTGTCAACAGTGTTCGTTGACAGAATGGTAACAGATTGCACACAGAAACTGTTTTATCAGTCTCTGAAGACAGATTGGTGACAGACTGCGCGCAGAGCCTGACGACAAACTTTGACGACAGATTGGCGGTAGATTACGCGCAGATTCTGTTTCGTAGATAGACTATTTAATTCTATCAAGGTCCATATGTTCGCTATTAAATGGGGTAGTTTCATGTGCACATCATGTAAAACTCCAAGAGGAGTAAAGATAATTATATTGTGCAATAATTGAACGCATATACACAATAAAAAACAATTTTTACTTTCTAAAATTGTATTATACATTTCTTATAAAAAACAAAAATAATAGAGAAATAAAAGATACGAAATAATAACGAGTACAAGTATAGAATAATACAACGGTTAAATGGCCAATTTAAATGGCCATTTAAAGGCGTACATATGCCATTCCTAGTAAAAATTGTTCCCATAAATTTTAATACAATTTCTCATATTATTTTTTTTTAATGTCATTATGTCATTAAATCTTAAAGATTTAATCGTTATGCAATAAGTACTGAAGGCAGCAGCACCGAATAAAATATTAGTCCCGCCATGTAAGTAACTTTTACAGAATTTTTGTGATGATTTATTTGAAAATATATCATGCTTCGATTTTGATAAAATTTAATACAATTTGAACTGGAAGATCGACCAAATTAATTCGCACATGTAAAAGCACAGTATTTTATTAGCACGATGGAAAAATGTCATTATCTGTTGTTTTATTCTAGTGATTTTCTATAGAATCCCTGGTAGAAAATTAATTTCGAATTATCGCGCCGGTTTCTTTTACATTATTTATACGCTAAACGATTTCGTCTATATTTTACGATTTAAAAGATGAACAAACTCTAAGATTTTTCTTCCTTAAACCTTAAGTGGGCAATACAAAGCACTTTTTATCAAATGAGGAATTGGCGTAGTGTCTAAGGCTACCCCTTATAGATATATCATACTAAGAATCATTGATAATTACTTATTATCCAGTATTTTTAATACTGAAAATAAGTAATTATCAATGATTCTTAGTATATTTCTATAAGGGACGGACGATTATCCAAAAGATATCTTCGATTCAAGTTTGAACCTCACCAGAGAAAATCTTAAAAATTATGAAAAAAATATAGAAACTTTTTTTTCATTGTATTTATGAGTATTTATGAGAAAGCACTCATTCTATGAGTAATTATAAAAAATCATGAGAAAATTTTCTACCAAAGATTTAATTGAAGAACGTACGAAATGACAAAATCTGCGCACATTCTGCCGTCATTCTGCTGTCACATATATGTCTACAAACTCTGCGTGCATACTGCTGTAAGTGTGCTGTCAGAGCCTGTTGGCAGGTTCTGGTGATAGTCGAACAGCCTATTGGCTCGATAGATGACTATGGATCTGACGACAGAGTCTGCTCGAATCTGATATCAATCTGATATCAGTCTACGTTCAATTTGCTTACTGGGTATATGATAGAGATGTTGCTTTTCAGGAACAACAATTTGTTTGACAACATTGTGTTATATTAAGTGCAAAAAAGAAGTGCACGGAATATCTTACAAATTTGTTTAATCGATTGCAAGTGTTTCTTTATGAATATATATTTTTATTTTGCAAGAATTTTTAGCATAAATTTTTTTGCTTCTGATGTTATTAAAAAAAGATAGACAATGCGAGGCCAGGAGCCTTAAAAATTCTTGCGAAATACGTTGAAATAAAACGATGTGTTTACAAAATGTTATTAGACAATCTATTGAGCAAATCTATAAAAGTCTGAATATTTTTTACTCTAATAATCAATAAATAACCGTAAAATTAACGTGAAATAACTATATCACGAGAAAAGATAAGAAGAAAGGTTGCATTTATTGAACAAAAGGAAAGGACTATTTTACAAATCTAGTTGATCGATTGTGTCATTTTATAGGTACATCCTTTTATTTAAACATATTTTGCAAGAATTTTTAGCGCGTATTTCCTAACTTCTAATGTCATCAATCAAAAATTGCACGGGCTCAGAAGCCTTAAAAGAAAAATATTAAGATCTAATTCCACAACTCAGTCAGAAATACACAGGAATATACACAGGAAATACGCGCTAAAAATTCTTGCAAAATATGTTGAAATAAAAGGATGTACCTATAAAATGACACAATCGATCAACTAGATTTGTAAAATAGTCCTTTCCTTTTGTTCAATAAATGCAACCTTTCTTCTTATCTTTTCTCGTGATATAGTTATTTCACGTTAATTTTACGGTTATTTATTGATTATTAGAGTAAAAAATATTCAGACTTTTATAGATTTGCTCGATCGATTGTCTAATAACATTTTGTAAACACATCGTTTTATTTCAATGTATTTCGCAAGAATTTTTAAGGCTCCTGGCCTCGCATTGTCTATCAGAAAACCACATGTTGATTCAAAGTTGATTCGACGAAGGTTGAATCAACATTGATTCAATGGCTTATCAATCATTTCGACGTCGAATCAACCTTGAATCAACGTTATGGTTCTGATTGGGAATCTCCAGTTAACTGGCTGGTTATTCGATTGGACTTAACCAATCGCATTTGACATTAAGAAGAATTAATCAGAATTAACCAATCACTATTGGAACTTAACCGGTAGTTAAAATTAAACGGATGTTGTGGAACTTGGCCTAAAATCTCGTCTAAAAAATACCAAAAACATCTAAAAATATCAAACCAATATATTCATTTTACTCATAAAAATTATTAATCCTTCTAATTTGGATATTTCGTTTCCTAGTTTATTAGACAAACACAATAAACCGAGGTTTTCTAACTTTTCGCAAACGTTGATAAAATTCGCTTGTTGTCTTTTACACCAACCTAATAATATATTTTAATTCTCTCGTAATGTTTGGCCAGACAACTTCAACGCAGTACCGCTGATCGTTGGCTACACGAACAACGAGCAAGCTCTAGCATACATAGAGACTACTGGTGGCCCGAATTCGGAAGGCAAGCTCTCCCCGGAAAGCTTCGAGACGATGATCACGGACGAGTTTTTGTCAGCGGTGCAAGCTTCTGACGAGAACAGCACCTGCGAAGTGAAGCCCGAGTTAGTAGCGAATGCGGTATTGTTTTTCTACAAACCATATCCACCGACGACCAACATGACGATACTCCGCGACAGATACCTGGATTTGCAAACAGAAAAGAATTACGCAGCCGGTCTGACATTGCTAGCCGGCAAAGTAGCAAAGCGCAAAGCGTCGGCCTTCGTCTATCGATTTGACTATCGTCCAAGAACACAACCAATAACGAAGGATGTACCGGAATGGGCCGGTGTGCCACACATGTTCGAGCTACCGTTCACCTGGGGTCTACCGCATTTGATGAGCGGCACAACGCAATGGAATTTCGCCGACAAGAAGATGTCCGACGTGATAATGGCGATGCTAGCAACCTTCGCCAAGACAGGCGACCCGTCCTTGAATAATCAGATCAAATGGGAACCCTTCACGGAGAAAAATCCTGGAATCCTACTCATCGACAAAAACATTGACATGAACCAACCAGACGAGGTGGATTATAGGGCATTTGCATTCTGGAACGAGTATTATCCACAGATCCTCGAGGAAGCAACGAGCTATTGTTGCAATGTCACCAGTACGGCGGCCACATGGAAGATATTCTCTTGTGGCGTATGTCTCGGCAGCGTAATGGCTACGATAGCGTTACAACATCTTCGATTTTAGCCGCAGGATCGCAGTGTGAAATACAAATACTGAATTATAAACGTGTTGCGCTCTTTGTTGTATTTTTTTAATAGACTAACACTTGTCGAAGGAAAATAAGAGACGGTGTTGCCGGGTTTTTCAATTTTATAACAAAGATCTCCTTTTCTCCTACTCTTTACTTTCTGGAATCAAATGCGAAGGAACGCCTCGCACTAATACTCGCTATGATAAAAACATCTCGCGAGAATCGCATTTTCTCACGCGAATAGAAATCCTGTACTTGCAATAAACTTACGCGGATGCTGTGTACGCATTTAATCGAGATTTCTCTCGCGCTTGTGCAGATCCATTGTAATATAATAATCGCGTGAAATTTTCCTACATTTTGATACTTGATATCTCAATTACATGGCGCATATCACAAAGTTATTTTATTCCGTTCTTATTTTCTTACATGTTATATTCGAGATGCGGATTATAAGAATTATGGAGAAGACCCAAGAATTACGAGATAAAGAGAGAGGGGCACGGAATAAAACAGTGTCCATGGGTCGGCTTACAAAAGTAGGAAACTTGGGCCTTAACATTCACTGATCTTTTTTATTATTTGCTTTAATACGGAGAGATATAGAAAAACATACTTTGTTTGAGAAACAAACAGTTTGATAACTTATGAATATTTTGATGATCCGATAATAATTAATAATAATAATTAATAATATTAATAATAATAATAGTAATAATCATGTTCATGTGTATCATCTATGTATAATTATATTATATAAGAGAGAGAGGTGCGCGGCGAGCGATGCATGGGGGCTGGTGGCCTGCGCACGCGCACGTCCGAACGTTTCTTTCCTGTTTATGTTTTTCTTTTTTCTCTTTCTTTCCTTTCTCCTAAATATATAATATTAGTTAATCATTTTTTTTTCTTAATTCGCTCATGCAAAACTCCTACAGTGATAACCGATGCCACGGGGTCTCGTACTATTTTATGCGCGTGTTGCTTGCGCATGCACACGAGCTACCCCGGGACCAACGTATATACAATATTTCCTGCCTTCCGCTTCGCGCTGTGTCTCTCTTTCCGCACCGTAACCGTATCTTCGTTCTTTGCTCCGCTGCGTTGCCTTGTGCCCTCGTGCTTCCCCTCCCCCCTCCCTATCGTCCGGCTTGCTATAACCATCGGTGTCACACAGACCTGCCGTTTACCGTCGCTTTAGTATTCCGTCAGCCCCCCTCCTCATTGTCATTAGTATCTTTTTTTTTCTTATTTTATATCCGCCTCGATCTTGTTTTTCTTGTTTATTTTTTTTCCACTGGTATCTTCAGATTTTCATGTAGGAGAGTATGGGCTTTGCCATATCTACCTTACAGAAGTAGGCACAGCGATTTCTTTTTCTGCTTCATCTTCTTCTCTGGCGACTTCTTGTTTATTTGTCGCACCAGATCGTAGAAAATCTGAAAACAAACAGTGACAGGAAAAATAATAACAATAAATGCTGTTAGGTCCGAAAATTGCGTTAAAACTCAGTTAACAATTATTAGAAAGATCTGAGCGAACTGCTAATTTTTTTTTTTTAATATTCAATTATAACATGATGTTTAAATACAAAAGAATAAATAGAATGACAGTTAACTCACATCGCGAACATTAATTTTAGCTTTGGCAGAAGTTTCCATAAACACGCAATTGAATTGCCGGGCAAGGTTGACACCCTGATCCTTTCCTACTACCCTTTCGTCCTCCAGGTCGCACTTATTGCCTACTAGTACCATCGGTACATCATCTGTGTCCTTTACCCGGAGGATTTGCTCCCTGAGATCCTGTAGATCGTTGAAGGTCGATTGTGCTGTTATCGAATATACTAATACGAAGCCCTGTCCATTTTTCATATAAAGGTCCCTCATGGCTGTGAATTGTTCCTGCGAACGCATTGAAAACAGCAGTGTTATTCAAAACGCATCTCGTATAGTCGCAATCATAAAATGAAAAAAATAGTTACGAAAGATGTGTTAAAAAATAAATATAAAATCGTGCTTTTTGCATTACTTTATCGAGAGAATATTTTCAATCGTATCGCGCGACACGGAATACATACAAAAATGAATAAAATCCAATCGTCACTGTTTTATTTTTTGCATATTTATGTGAGATTTTGATACATATATAACGGAATATGCGTATATTCTGTTGAACCGTCGCCCATTGACGTTTCGTTGACGCACCGTATATGATCGCTTGAAAATATTTATGATTTTTTCTTTGCTGAATAAAAAAATTGTCTTTAACATATCGTATAACTTCGTTGTTTTTCGGCATTCCCGATAAAGAAAAAGAATATCATTTATATCATACTTACTGTGCCGGCTGTGTCTAGGATTTCTAACATACATTGTTGGCCGTCGACCTCGACTTGCTTGCGGTAACTGTCCTCGATCGTTGGATCGTACTTCTCTACGAAGATTTCTTGCACAAACTGGACAGTGAGGGCGGACTTGCCTACACCTCCACTGCCCAGCACAACTATTTTATATTCACGCATTTCCTTGCCCTATCTACTGCCTGTGCGCCTGGTCACAGTCGAGAGGTCACCGAATCCGCCACGTTTTGCTTCGATTTGCTCTCAGTGAAATGGATCTGAAACAATACAGTGCAATGTCTATTTAAAGGCCACACACGTAATGAACAGGTTAATTTCAGTGACACACCTTGTTCAGGACAAGTCAGCTTTTATGACTCAATGTTTTTTATACGTGCGTGTATATACATTTATACGATGAGTTCACGCGAATTTTTACCGTAAGAATCATAATTAGTAATTTCTAAGTATAAGGTGCAGGTAGGGTGCGTTTGTGTTAGCAGACAGAGTGTAATCGTTTCAATATGAAATCATATAAAATTTCTCTCTCTCTTCCCCTCTCCCTTCCTCTCCTTCTCACTCTTTTTCTCTCCTGGCAAAAATTTAATTAAACACGTTATCTTTTTTGTCGCGACTTAATATTAATATTATTCTTAACTTAATTCTTAATATTAAATATCTCGAAAATTAAATCCCTTGAGTTGTAAAATTACGCGCAAACTTCAACTTGAAGTTAAATGAGAAATGAAAGAAACATCTTTCTTTGAAAGCAAGCAATCTCAGAGAGAAAAAGAAATACCCAAATATTTTCTAAAATTAACCAAAAATCAGAAATTATAGCGTAAAATTCTGGAATCTGGAAACAACAGCAGTACAACAGTTAATTGTTCTGTAAAAAAATACCGATGCCAGAGTACGGTACATCCGTACTAAAATAACCGTAATAATTAAAAAATCCGTAATAAAATAACGCGCTACACATTGTGTTACTTTTGGCAAACCGAATTGTCGCAACAATGAGCGACAAAAGGACTGATAGAAGGGAAAACGTGGATGAAGCGACGACATCCCGATTGGTTGGCAATGGCATCATGGCGACGCACCGCGACCAATCGACAGGCGCAAAATTCTTTGCGCCAATCCGTCATTGATTTTACCTTATGAATGGGCCTGTACGATGACAGTCGCTACTCTCGGACTTTCACCGACTTGTTAGCGCTTAATAAAGTTACCTCGGAGACGATGTTGTACTTGATGTATGTACATTATCCAGCATTTATTAATTAGAAATTAATGATTAATAAATTAATTTATCGTCTTTTGTGGACACTAAAGATAATTTTTAAAATTATCTGACAAGTTTTAGTTTTCAGCAATTCCAAAGTTCCTGATCTCTCGCCGCAAAACTCTTAATTGATGACGTCAAAAAAAAGAGGAAAACCCATGTCCAAAATTCTTCCAGAATAAAAAGATAAAAGTAAACATTGGGATCGATTGAGTATATTTACAAAATACTCTGCAAATTTTTCTTTTGCTCTAACAATGAATAAATAATAATAACAATCAATAAATACTCGTAAGATTAACGTGACGTACAACTTTCCTTTTTAACCTACTTTTTCTCATAATTTTGTCATATTAATTTTACGGTTAATTATTGATCATCAAAGAAACAGGAAAGTGTTCAGACTATTTTACAAATGTGCTCAATTGATCACATTTTATGAACATATTCTTTTATTCGATATTCTATAGAAATTTTGGGCATACATTCTATCGTTTTTGACATCATTAATAGAATTAATCGTAGCGAGAAGATAGAAGTCTTAAGTAATTTAAAAATTTTTATATGTTTATTATTCATATGTTTATTTATAGATATTTGATACCGAAATATTTCTTATTAAAAATTGATTCATTTAATTACTTAATATATTCTGATTAAATATCCTAGAACGACAGAGTTAATTTCGTTTAATATGTTGGCATCTCTTTTAACAACCGTTTCTTCAATTAGAGATTCATGTAAAGTCAAGATTGTTCAGTTTCTTTTATTATTTCTACAAAGAGTCCAGAGTTTTATCCAGAAATGTATAATGAATGCATATGCTCTTCGTGTTTAATATAAAAGAAGCAGCGAAACTCGGATAGTTTCGCAGGAGATGTAATTCCAAGCAAGCTGGTCGTAAATTAATAATACTGAAGTACTACTTGAGAAATTTACAAATCAATTATCTACTTTGAGACGAACACGTGTACCACAATGACGATTCGCGAAAAAATTTTCAAATTTAATTTTTCCGTAGATGTATTTCTCCATAGAGCGGTTGCTCATATACAATAAAAACAGTTGTCGCATAAATGTAATTACAAAATTTTCCGGTCTCTACTTCCGCTTTTCCGAAACAAAACGTATCTCTGCAGCCGACCTGCTGCGAAGTAGAATATCTATCTCGCAGCGTCTCGAAGAAAAAAGAAAAAGAACAAGCGCGAGCTAAGTAAACCGGAAGAAAATGAAGGGCTCGTAATACATACGAAAGAAAGTAACTTCATCATCTTGTATTAGCGTATATCTTCCTCAAGAATACTCTTCTCTCGAGCTCACAATTTTCCTAGTTTTCCCGCGCTCCGAGCGTGTTTAATTTTCCTAACTTCTCCCCGGATTTTCCAGGCAGCTTGCGGCGGCGTTGTTCTCCTAAGTTTATTAGCGAAGGCCAAACAATACCTATAGTAACGACGGCGATATCTACTATCGTATGACGATGTCTACTATCGTGCGACGATGCCGATCGCGATGTCTCGCGAGAATGATAGCGCAAGACTTTGCGGGATGGGGGAAGGGAGAGAGGAAGAGAGAGAGAGAGAGAGGCATATATGGCGTTTATAATATAATTACGTTGTAATACATTTACGGTGCGCCGTCTCATTGCAACGTGCCGCTGTACGATGCAATTAAGCGCGCAAATTAGGTCGTACGGGCATCGAACGCGGGCAACAAGTTGATATTCGAAAGAGAGAGAATCGACCATAACGACGGGGAGGACTGCCGGGAGAGCGGATCGAACATTTGGCGTTGTTCCAAAATACCCCCGGACCGAAAAAGTGTATGTTCACACACGTACGCGCGCGTACACACAAACACACAGCGAGGCAAACGCTCGCGGATACTCTCGCAGCAGACTCCCCTGACCTAGTTATTAGGCTTTGGCGTGGGAGAGCGCTGTTCCATAAATCACCACGTCTTTTGTTCGAAATTCAAAGTTGTACCACCGATGAAAATCGAAGGGTCACTCGTCGCGATAGCGATCTGTACATGTGCGACTTCTTCGCGAGAAGCGGAGACGCATTGCCCGCTTTTAGTTCTGTGTTCGTTCACGAACGAGTCCAAAGGCGCGTAATTCCATCGAGGACACCTAAAATCCTCGTGATTAATCCCCCTCCCTCTCCCTCTCTCCGAGTGCCAACCAGAATTATTCGTGTACTGTATTCGGGAACTAATACAAGTCATAAAAAATGTTTGTATTTCTCGAAGCACTTTCGTTTAAGAATTAATAAAAAAAAATTAAATATTTAACAATTTATTTTCCATAAAGAAGTTCTATGGTCTTCGACTAAAAGAGTAAAGAAAGTTTCAATAATTTTGGGGAATTTTTTCAAGCACTCTAAAAGAGGGGAAAAAAAGTTGAGGAAGACATTAATAGTTGCACTCCAAAAATAACGAAAATACATTGTCACTCGGAGGGTTGAAAGTTCTAAGTAGTTTGTGTACACACAGAAAATTGCATGCTGCCTTTAAATAAATATTATTTGTTTCAAGCATTTCATAAATTTATATAGGGCGTGTGATACAAGATATATAAAATAATGTGTAAAGATAGAACACATCAACCTGAACACGAGGATTTCTGGCAAACAACCACATAAAATGTCGAGATATTACAAATTTGTTTAATCGATTGCAAGATTACTTTATGGATGTATATTTTTATGTTAACATATCTTACAAGAATTTTTAGCATACATTTTTTCGCTTCTGACGTCATTAAAAAAAGAGACAATGCAAGAAGCCAGGAAACCTTAAGAAAAAAAGATTGGCGAATACTACAACGTCCGACAGTGTAAGACAAGCTTTATTAGCGCGAAATCCTATCGAAAAAGTTTCCCAAGAAAAATGTTTCTTAGCGACACACGCATGACACGCTCGTGATACAAATAATAAAAAAACAATTGTTTTCGCACCATTCGCATCCTTACTCTGTCTTCAGTTGCCAGCCGATATCTTGTACCATCTTACTACATCGCGCGCTCTAGTTCATCAATCTTTTTTCATTAACATCTCAAAATTTTATGTAGTTGTTTGAAAAATGTTAGAGGTCCTCGTACTCAGTTTGACGTGCTCTACTTTCACATGTGATTTTATACATTTTGCGTTAGGCACCCTATACAGCGTGTCCCAAAACAAGTGTCATCATTCGTGAAGGTGTAGATTAGGTCAAGTTGAACAAAAATTTCTCTATCATGTTGCAACTAACTACGTAGATTTTTAATTATTAATTAAAGGAGATTGACGCACGATTATGTGTGATAATGCACCAAACTTCTTTAATTAATGATAAAACTAAAGATGTACGTAATTATTTGTAAAAAGATAGAGAAGTTTTTCATCCAGTTTAATCTAATATACAAGCACACGAGCGGTGGCATCATTGTTCTGGGACACTCTGTATATCCGCGAGTCTATCGTGAGCTTATCATAAGTATCAAATCTGTTCAAAATATAGTCTAAACCTTAGGATTAGCATTTCAATTATGAATATTAAGTTAAAACAAAAATTTAGTTTGCTTACTACACAGAGAAAAAGATTTCACCACACCCTATAACTCAACTAACATGCAAGTTTCAATTATAAGAAAATTACTTGCTCAAAGCATAACAAAAACATGCTGAAAAGTTAAAAAATGTGCGTCTTATAATTTCTTTGTCAAAATATCCCAAAAAAACTCCTTTAATTTATATCTACACAAAATACCCAGAACCCTTAAAAACATAATCAGAACCCGCGGAAACCGATGCAACACGATCTCGGGAATATGAACACGGATAATTATGCAAATACCACACTTCGATTTCAGTAATCTTGACATATGTTATCAAGAGCATCATCCTGATTAACTTTTAGAAAGTTTTAGCTGGCGGTCATTATTATTTAAAAAGTTATTAATAAAAATTTTTAGTAACAATGAATGGGCAATTTTCGTTGTTCATGCAATATATTAT